GTACTCCAAACGTAGCAATCCCGCTGTGCAACAAATTCTGAGCAACCTGGGGGACTCAGACACCAGCTCAGCAGATTGCTTGGAAAGTGAGCCCTGGCATACCCGAACTCCCGCCCTCCGACACTGCCGAGGCAGCGCGTCGCGCAGCTGCGGCGGAGCGGCCGCCAGCCGTGCGATGGATCTATGGGAATCTGAACGAGACAGCAGCTGCCGACTGTCTCCGCAGTTTGCAGCAGGCGGAGACAGGGCCCGTGCCCACGCCCGAACAGAGCCAGTTCCTGCAGGCCATCATAAACCGCTGCTTAACAGAAACCACCGAAGAACAGACCCAGCGGATCGGCAAGAGTGAACCCTGGAGAGGGATTTGCCATGGAGTCCCCGGCGCAGGCAAGAGTCAAACGTTGAAATGGCTCCGACGATTCTTTGAACCAGACGGAATTCGTCTATCTAGCCCCTCAAAATACCCAGGCCGCGCTAATTCAGGGTATGACGCTGCGTGCGTTCGCGAACATCCGCATCAAAGCCAAAGGCCAAGGCGGCGAACGAGAGCGGGGGCCCGACCAATTCGTCCAGTACCAACGGTTGCGTTGGCTCGTGCTAGACGAAATTTCCACAGTCGGTCTCGAAGTCCTAGCCACCCTCGAAAAAAAGGTCGCCCAAGCCACCCGAACAAAAGGCACTTGGAAGAACAATGGCAGGGACGAGGCGCGACCGTTCGGCGGCCTCAACCTCATCCTGACAGGCGATCTCTGGCAGTTTCCACCCGTGAAGGCCACCGCCATTTTCCAAAACCCCTTCACCGGGGGCACTTCCTGCCAGGTGGCCGGGCTCCAAAAGGTCTTGTGGTCACGCACTGACTCCGGCATTCACGCACTCTTCGAGGTGACCACCGAGCAACGTTGCGTGGACCCCTGGCTAAGCCTAGTCTTGAAACAAGCACGCCACGGTTCCATGTCGCAGGATGTTTGGCGCTTTCTCCATGGGTTTCCAACCCGGCGCCCAGGTGCGACACCAAGTCTTGCCTCTGCGGCACGGATGCCTGCCAGACCCTCCCCCTTGCATGGGCAACAGCTCCACATTCACCCTGGGAAGCTCGCTTAGAACAAGAATGTCTCCAGTGCCGAATCGAAAGACGACGCAGGTGCCTGCTAGGTCGGGATCCAAAGTCCGCGAAATTTGCGGCGCAACCATTCATTCACGGTCTCAACGCAGCCAAATACATAGCCACTAATCTCAGAGCTCGGGAAGTAGCAGTTAGCCAACAGCAAACCCCGTGTCGACCTCCGCCCGAATCCGGTCGACAGATTGATATGTATCTTGCGCAGGATGTTCAAAAACATCGGGTTTTACAGTGTTTTGTGGCCTTCGGCGTCCACGACTTTCGCCTAACAGGGCGCCCGCGGTGTCGGTTACGCATGCCGCGCGGACAGGCTTAATCGACATGTCGTGGGTGTTGGGCACATAAGTTGCCTGACTATCCCCAACATAGGCTCAAGATAGCCATAGCCAACATATCCCCAACATATGCCCAACATAGCCTCCAAGATGGCTCGACATAGGGCCAACATAGGCCAACATGGGGCCAACATACGCCAATGGGCCCAACCTAGGCCAACATAGGCCTAACATAGGCCGACCTAGGCCCAACATAGGCTCAACTTGGGCCCAAGATGTGCCCAACATAGACCACATGGGCGCAACTTGGCCCAACCTAGGGCCAAGATGCGCACCAGATAGCTTAACTTTGCTCAATATAGGCCCCACCAAGTCTCAAAGAAAGAGAGAGAGAGAGAGAGGACCCAGCCCTGCACATACCCAAACCCAAAAGGCCGCCGCCCGGCTGTCAGGCATAAGCCTCATAAATAACCCACAAGACTGTCCTACCAGAGTGTCATTTGGGCATATGGAACGTGTTTGCATTCGGGTTCGTGGGTTCCATCTTGTTTCTTTCAGCGCCCGTAGGGCTGAGCCTTCCGCAGCGGCGGGCGCGTGGGCTGAGTGACGAGCTGCACCAAGGGTGCGCGGTAAGCACGGGCTTGGGTTGTTTTGTTGGAGTGCTTCAGCTGTAGCGTCGAGGTCGAGACGCTTGTCCCGCAAATCCTATAGGAGACGGGTAATAAAGACAGATTCTGCAATGCTGCGTGTCGGAATGAGGCCACAGTATTTTCCGTGGCTCAAAGTTCGAGCGGTAAAATCTGCAGTGCCATGAAGAAGGTTGAACAGGTTGGGTGTGAACTGGCGAAGTGGGGCCCGGCGTGGGTTGTGAAGATGAGACGTTGGCTGCTGGTGTAGAAGAATCTTGGGTGGATTGTTCCTGAGCATTGGAATGGGTGAGTTCCTTGTTAGCAACTGGATGTTGGGATGGGTTGACGGGTGGAAATGCTGAGTAAGGCTGTTGTTGCCACACGCCGCGCTGTGGATCCCAAGAGAAGGTGGTGGTCGGTGGAAGGGCGGTGGCCGGTGTTGGAGCTGGCGCGATTGGGGTTTGGGGTGGATGTTGTTGAGCCGGAGCCAGCGGTTGCGGTTGAGAAGAAGGATGACAAAACTCTTGAGGTGGCGTTGCTGTGGGGCAACTGTAGGTAATCGAGAAATGGTACTGGCTGTGTTGGAAAGGTGGGAGGCGAATGCCACGTGGGTTGCTGCATCATAGGGGCAGGATGGTAATGTGTAGGTTGTGGAGGTAGCGAACGGGGAATGGGCATTGTCGCAGGTGGATGGCCTGGTGGAGGTTGTGATACATAAGGGTAAGGCCAAGGAAATTGCATACTGTTGAAATTGCTGGTGTCGGCAGCTGAAAGATCTAGTCAATGTTGTCGGCAGCTGCAGGTATGGCGGCTGCGGCGCAGGAAAGCAGCTGCAAAAATGTAACCAATGCTGAAGAGTCGAGCACTGCATTGAAAACATCGATTTAAAGTGAATGCAATGCGGTCAGTCTGAAAAAAATCTACATGTGTAAAAACTTCCATTGAAAAATGGACACATGAAGAGTTGGAACAGGCAAATGTCGGGGCCGGAACAAAAGCTGGCAAAGCGGCAGATATCCGTATACCCGGCAGTTGAGTTATAGAGCCTTATACTGGGCAATTTGAATTTCGGGACGATAATTCCAGCGCGCGCAGAAAACGGCAAAGTTAGTTAGGTGGCAGTCCAGCATGAATTCAGCGCCCCAGTGACGGGGATCACGCTCTGCGCCCAGTGGGACGACAGAGCGGCGCACACTTAGACAATGGGTAAAGTTTGCAGCAAAGGTTGAACAGGCTGTTTGTGCATGACTGCAGAGCTCAGCGGCGGCGAACGAAACGGCGCGGCGCAGCGGCAGAACCCAGGTTTGGGGGAGGTATCGTGAAAGAACCATGAGCCAAAACGTGGAAAGTGGAATCACAGCTTGCGCAAAACAGCTACGCAGACCTGTCGCTCCCTGACAATGCAGTGAAAAAGGGCCAAGCTCTTAGAAACAGAGGGGGGCACGCGCACACACACACACACACTTTGACATTGGTTTCAGTTAGCTCAATTCCCAGGTCGAAAATGGTGAGGGAACGGCAAGGCGAAAAGGTCGGCGAGAACTGTATGGTTGAACAATTTTTGCAATCGGACACACAAGCGCGGCTGCAAAGCGGTGGGAAAAAAAGGGTTTGGGGGACGTATCATGAACCACCATGGAATCAAAAAGAAGGATTGGAACAGCGTACTCAACCATTGAAGCAGGTACAGGTGGATGATCAGTCCACCCCTCCCTCGTCATACCGTAGCTTCATTGCGTATGGTGGGTATGACGAGCCGTACGCCCCTGCTTTGAAAACATGGAAAGCCCTTGGGGACAGGGTTTGAGACACACACACACACACGGCGCCGCTTTGCGGTTCTCGTGCGAACGACCTGAATAGGTACCTAAAAAGCCTTAGAAACAAAAGAAAGAAACACAGAAAGAGCAGCGCTAAGAGGGCAAGAGAGAAAGGTAGGAGTAGAAAAAAGTGAATACTTAGCCCTTGACTGGGTAGGGAAACAAGCCTCAAGAGCAACCTAAAAAGCCTGAGAGAAAGCCCAACAAACGACGAAAAGCGCAAGAAGGAAAGTGGGGGGGGCAGGGAGGGGGTGTATGTCCATGTGTGTGTCTGAATACTTAGCACTCTAGAGTTACTGATAACTTAGCAGAAATGAATTAAGTGCAATAGTTAGGGAGCGGGACTTTGGTCTTAAACCGCCCGGGTAGAGAAGACTAGAAAAGGGACAACAGAGGGAAAGGCACCGACACACAAGTGTGCCGAGTACCATTTCCCTCTGTTACCCTAATTAGGTGGGGAGTAGAACTCGGCGGGGGGGGGTTGGGAAAACACGCCTGGCCTCGGGTGGAAGTGAATTCCGTTTTTTAGCCCGGCGGCTGTGGTAGCATGTCGTGAAAGCCCGACGGCTTTTAAGGCAGTTAATCCCGTGGGTGGTGAGACGAAGGCTGTTATGAAAATCCAATGAGTGGTGGACAGAATAAGTCGGTTACGCGATTTCCTGCTTGGCTTCGGCGCCCCTGTCACGGGATCACACCCAGCACCCAAGTGGGACGGCTGAGCGGTTCACACTTTGACATTGGTTTCAGTTAGCTCAATTCCCAGGTCGAAAATGGTGAGGGAACGGCAAGGCGAAAAGGTCGGCGAGAACTGTATGGTTGAACAATGTTTGCAATCGGACACACAAGCGCGGCTGCAAAGCGGTGGAAAAAAAGGGTTTGGGGGACGTATCATGAACCACCATGGAGTCAAAAGGATTGGAACAGCGTACTCAACCGTTGAAGCAGGTACAGGTGGATGATCAGTCCACCCCTCCCTCGTCATACCATAGCTTCATTGCGTACGGTGGGTATGACGAGCCGTACGCCCCTGCTTTGAAAACATGGAAAGCCCTTCAGGACAGGGCTTGACACACACACACACACACCCGTGTGCGCGACACACACCCATGCGCGCGTGTGCTTGCGAGGGCGCTGCCTCCCCATCTGAGCCCGCGACGCAAGCGAGCACGTGGGTCAACAATGCTGTTGACAGAAAAAACTGAAAGACATTCACGCAGAAAATCACCTTGTCAGGTTCGATTCCGCAAACAATTGTTGTTTCAAAAGAAGTGGGTGATCAAACTTGCAGCGCCGGTTCTATTTCTATATATTTCATTGTCCAAAGCAACTTTATCGAGACACCACTTCAGTGCTTGCACGGCGCCGGACATCGTCAACCAATCGTTTCCTAAGAAACTAAAAGAAGAACTCATAAAGGTCTCAATACTAAAACTGTCAGGGCTACAAATAATATGATTCAGCTCACTTGCTTGCAGCTGGCATTTTGATGAACCTCAAAAGTCGCGCAAGTCGGAGCATGCGAACAACCCGTCCACTCCTGCAAAGCACCACGCAGAATTGAATTGACAAAGGTATATTATGAGAAAGAGCCCGCTTTGCTTCAACATGAAACATACACCAATGGTCGAACACCGTGTTGGATCAACAGGCTTGTCCTCAAAGTGCGCGCCAAACCGATTGGATCTGCAGCGCCGGCATCCACAATCGCTGTGAGCCAGTCTGAGACAACCTTGGAAACTGGCAAACAGCGAGAAACACTGCTCCATGCGTTCTTAGAGACCAGCAAGAACTACATCCAGCGCCATCCACGTCTTCAAATACCTCACTATAGAGAGGCATCCCGACCGTTTCCACGGAAGCTGCGCTACTGTACGGCGCTACTGCAGTTTTGAAGAGACCAGGCCACTTTCGAACGATGGCTCGACTGTCGCTCACCAGCTTTCCGTGAATGTAGACAGCGGTGTTCAAAGAGACGACAATGTCCAAAGTCCAGTACACTGTGCACACCATCTTAGCTAGGAAACAGTAGGAAGCAGATCGCTCGAAATCAAAAACCCAGTTGAAAAATATTTTTTCCAAAATAACACTCTGCCAACGCCGAGTGTAAAGCTGAGAGCAAATGCAGGAACGCGCTGTCCGGCATATCAAACACCTGATTTGCTTTTCTGACATGACAGTCTGTGATGTTTGCTGCGACGCAAGCCGCTTCACCTTGACTCACCACTCCTTTACGGATCTTGGTTGCGAACTTGCATAGGGATAATCACCTCATGCAGTCGGACTTCTTTCTGCGCCTGCTTTTGTTCAATCTATATAGATAAAGATATTCATTCAACTAGACAACGGTTCGCCCGAGAGCGAGACATGTGATTGTCCAGCACTGTCGAAAAGACATATAGAAAGAGAGAAAGAGAGGGTGGATGTGAAGGAGTGACAGTGTGGATGTGCAGGTGCGATATAGATGTGTAGATGTATGGAGGTGGAGAGGTAGATCTGTGGATGTGAGCGTGCGAAGATGTAAATGTACCGAGGCGAGAGAAAAGATATGAAGAAAGAAAGAAGGACAGGACAGATGTGAAGGAGCGACACCGTGGATGTACAGGTGCGATATAGATGCGCAGATGTGTGGAGGTGGAGAGGTACATCTGCAGATGTGAGCGTGTCAAGATGCTCTCATGGGACACTCTCTCTCTGGGACACTCTTGTGGGTCACTCTTGTGGGAAGCTCTTGCGGGGCACTCTTTTGGGACAAATTTAAAATATTAAGAGAAAAGATGTGTAGAAAGAGAGAAGGAGAGGGCGGATGTGAAGGAGTGACAGTGTGGATGTGCAGGTGCGATATAGACGCGCAGATGTGTGGAGGTGGAGAGGTACATCTGCAGATGTGAGCGTGTCAAGATACTTTCGTGGGACACTCTCTCTCTGGGACACTCTTGTGGGTCACTCTTGTGGGAAGCTCTTGCGGGGCACTCTTGGGGACACTCGTGATACCACAAATCGTCCCGCTCCCCAGCGACACGCCGCGTTTACGCCAGCGTGTTTCGCGCTCCCCAATAACACGGCACCACGCAGACGCACTTTTTCCACCAAGGCCGCGCAAATCCCAATGGCACTGCGCGGACGTAATTTGCCACACAGTCTGCTCACACACTAGAAGCAATCCTATCACACGATACCGCCAGTCATCCTGCTCACCCGCGACACGCCGCGTTTACGCCAGCATGTTTCGCCCTCCCCACTGGCACGGCGCCATGGCACAAATCCCAATGGCACTGCGACATCACCGACGTCGCGTCGCCACACGGTCTGCCCACACACTAGCAGCAATCCTATCACACAATACCGCCAATCATCCCGCTCCCCACACTTCTGAGTCCAGCTCCAAAAAGCTTTTAACCCGTACTACATTTGCACGACAAACTGGCCAGGTATGAGTCCAGCTCCGAAAAGCTCTTTCCCGTACTACATTTGTACTACAAACTGGCCAGTTCTGAGTCCAGCTCCGAAAAGCTCTTTCCCCCACTACATTTGTACTACAAACTGGCCACTTCTGAGTCCAGCTCCGAAAAGCTCTTTCCCCTACTACATTTGTACTACAAACTGGCCATTCTGATCTCTCACCTGCGTTTCGCGCCTTCCACGCGCACGATCTCGCAGAGGGCTGCGCCAGATAAATCCGAAACGCACTCTCGCCTGCATTTCGCGCCCTCGACACGCGCGATCTCCGCAGAGGGTTGCGCCGGATCGGGCCAAAACGCACTCTCGCCTGCATTTCGCGCCCGCGACACGCACGATCTCCGCAGAGGGTTGCGCCGGACCGGGTCAAAACGGACTCTCGCCTGCATTTCGTGCCCTCGACACGCGCGACCTCTGCAGAGGGTTGCCCGCGCCAAATCCAAAACGCACTCTCGCCTGCATTTCGCGCCCTCGACGCGCGCAATCTCCGCAGAGGGTTGCCCGCGACCGGGCCAAAACGCACTCTCGCCTGCATTTCGCGCCCTCGAAGCGCACGATCTCCGCAGAGGGTTGCCCGCGACCGGGCCAAAACGCAATCATCTCACCTGCATTTCGCGCCCTCGACACGCACGATCTCCGCAGAGGGTTGCGCCGGACCGGGCCAAATCGCGCTCTCGCCTGCATTTCGTGCCCTCGACGCGCACCATCTCCGCAGAGGGTTGCGCCGGACCGGGACAAATCGCGCTCTCGCCTGCATTTCGCGCCCTCGACGCGCACGATCTCCGCAGAGGGTTGCGTTTCGTGGTGCTCCGGCGGCGCCGCCCCCGGCCTTAAGAGAGAAAGTAAAGAAGAGCGAGAGGTGAAGATGTGAGATGTAGATGTGAGGATGTGAAGATGAGCAGAGATGTAGATGTGAGGATGTGAAGATGAGCAGAGGTGTACATGTGCAGATGTGAACATGAGCAGAGATGTAGATGTGTGAAGATGAACATGAGCAGAGATGTAGATGTGAGGATGTGAAGATGAGGAGAGATGTAGATGCGCAGGTGAGCAGAGATATAGGTGAGAATGTGAATGTGCAGAGGTGAAGATGTTAAGATGTATTCTGCAGATGTTTTTTTACGAAGAACCCTTCGCAGACGCTCTCGGGAACAAACAAAAACGGCATGGCAAGCAATGAAGTACGAATGTTCGACCGAGCTGCCAGATCGTAGCACAGGAGAAACATTGCACAAAAATCCTCAGCCAGAAACAATTGCAACGTGCAAGATGTGGTTTGATGACGCAATGCAACATACTGCAACATGCTTTCAAGCGTCCCAAACGATTCTTGCCCTGGATGACCTGAGCTTCTGGGCTTTTGCAACGCTTAAATTGGATTGGCAGCCGGCTTCTCTAATCTGGAACTTTGTGATAACGAGAAAACCAAAGATCCCTTCAAGAAACCCGCCAGATTGGTTCTTCTCCCCATTCCCTGGCTGAGATTGTTCTTGTTTCCAAATCATTGGCCCTTCTTGGCACCACCGATGCTTGTTTTTTTAAACGAGCTGTGGCTCTGGAGTACACTCAACATAGTGACAACGAGGGCGAGGATGACGTGAAGAACACTAACATGAAGTGGCGAGAAGGAGGGTGTAACAACGAAGATGATGCGGTGATAACTCGAAGCGTTGCAGAGGGCTCCAGCTTTTGTTCTCCCAGATTTCGTAGTTTTTAATTCCCAAAAGGGCTGGATTTTCCCTGAATAGTTTTTTGCTGTCCTGCCGATTTTTGGACCATCGGTTGTTGAATGCGGACGAAACTAGAAACATGTTTAGTGGTGCTAAGTGCTAAGTTAGTCAGAATCAGTTTCGCGCGCAACGCTCATGGCATCACATTGGGGCAACTTTGACGCGATGCGATCGCAGCGTTTGCCAGGAAGGAATTCGCCAACAGCAGACCTCAAAAACTGGCAGGTACGGTACACCATTGAGGTATAAGAGCAGCGCGTCAACGCGCAAGCATAACTTAGCCACCGGCGGACAGTTACGGAAACACCACCGGCGGACAGTTACGGAAACATTCTTGAAAAAAACACCGAAACACAAAACACAAATACTGTAAATCACGCCGAAAAAACATGGAATAGGACAACAACAATAGCAGCAGCAGCAGCAGCAGCAACAACCAAGGAAACAAGCAAGCAACCCAGCAGCCAGAGACAACGTATGGCAGCAAAGCAGCGACAACCAACAACGCCGCGACGAAATAGAACTCGTTTGCATTGCGGGAGAGGCGCCGCGCCCTCCCACACATCCCTCCAATTTTATTTGCTTAGGTGGGTCGAGGCAACCAGGAAACCGAGGAAGCAGTCAAGGACACAAGCAGGCAACCCAGCAGCAGCTGCAGCAGCAGCAACAGAAACAACAACCAAGGAAACAAGCAAGCAACTCAGCAGCCAGGCACCAACCCACCCAGACCTTGTTCAGTGCCCTCCCCCACACCCCCTACCGCTTTTTCTTTGTTGAGGCGGATCAGGGCAACCAGGAAACCCAAGAAACAACCAAGGAAACAAGCAAGCAACCCAGCAGCTAGGCAGCAACTCGCCCACTAGACCTTGATCGCATTGCGGGGGATGCGCTGCGCCCTCCCCACACCCCTCCTGCTTTCTATTTGTTTAGGCGAATCAAGGCAACCAGGAACCCAGGAGACAACCGCACAAGCAAGCCACCCAGCAGCCTGAGAACCCCCCAGCCGCAGCGCCAGAGCAACAGCAACCGACAATCAACAACAACGCAGCGACGAAATACAACAACGACGACAACAAGAACACTAGCAACAGGAGCAGAAACAACAACCAAGGAAACAAGCAAGCAACCCAGCAGCTGTGGGCACCAGCCTGCTTGTTCGCATCGCATTGCGGCGAGGCGCTGCGTCCTGCCCCGCACCCGCGCCTCCCGCTTTTTCTTTGTTGAAGCGGACCAAGGCAAAGAGGAGATGAAGAAGCAGCCAACAACCAAAAACAACGAAATCCGCCCGCGCCGAAGGTGCTGAGTCGTTGTCTCAGTTCGCATAAATCGCTAGAATTGCTTCACTTAAACTTTAGCTTGGGGGAGGGGATGTTGTGGCTTTGAGGATCTTTGAAGGTTTAAAAAGCCGATGAAAAACGAGCGAATCACTGGCGATGTCGGTTATGCATTATTGACATCGTGTGTACTTGCCGCGGTGGCCTTCCCGAAAGAGAAACGAGGAAACTATTGAAAATGTGAGTTACGCCGCCCGAATGGAAGTGCATCATTGAAAGCGTGTACGTGTTTGTAGCTGCGGATCCCCCGATTGAGGCTGATTGAGTACAACACGCCTAAGATAGGTACCAGCGTAGTTGATATGTAAGACGCAACGTCGAATAGGGGAACGCGTCAATCACCAAGTTGCTGTCGCGGGGTGCTGTTTTTAAATTTTTTTGTTAGGCCGGTAGGCGGAAGAGTTACCAAGATTGTGAGAATCGAACCACGCGGTTTTGCTCCTTCTGACCCTTTGAGCCAGGCATCGATCTTTCCCAGCTCAGAGAGCACAAGTGTCCGCGAGCCGCGAAGCGGTGTGAATAGAACCAACAACAACACAACGACATACAACAGTGACCACCACAACAAGAGCAGCAGCAAAAACAACATCAACAGTTACAAAGAAAGAGTGAAAGAAAGATGCAAATACAAATCCATACATATATAGATATAGATAATACTAAAATCTTTGTTTACGGTTCGATGATGCTTGCGCATGCTGTTGTGATCTTTTGTCCCGTGTTTCTATAGTACTATAGAGCCACGGTTGTCCTTGAGGAAGGCAAGCAACTTCATGGGAAAGGAAAACGCAGACTTCTGGGAAAAAAACCTGATGCGAAAGGAAAACCCAGATTTCTAGGGCAAAAACCTGATGGGAAAGGCAAAGCCAGATTTCTGGGACGGCAAAAACATGCAAAAACCAAGCGAGATGGGAACATACTAAACCGGGAGAAAAAGATGGAAAGTAAATAACCAAAACTGGAAGGGAAAAAACAACCCCGTTGCAGAATTGCATGGCGCGACAGCAAAGTCAACTCTGCCAAAGCACCCTTTCAATTTCCCACAGTTGGGAGCTTTGCCCACCAGTGCTGCTTGGCGCAACGACTTCCCAAATGTGCATTAACGCGCAAAAAGGAAGCAAAAGAGTGCGGAACGATAGTCCTGCAAAAGTGGACTCTATTTTGCGTCGAAGTCGAAGTGGATGAAGTTGAGCTGCTTCTGAAAGCCTTTCTTGATGTGGGTCTTCTGTTGAAAGGAGATCTGCGAACCCCGGGCTTTCCTTGTTTCCCCTTTGTAAACTCCCTTTCCCTCGCCACCTTTTCCTCCTTTTCCCTCTTTCCTTTCCCCTCGTCACAGGATAGAAAAGAATGGAGCAACCACAACCTCCTTCATTCGGCTATCCAAGTCGTTGACGAAGGCCTACTCGACTTGATCGTTGACCGGCCATGATTTCAACCTCTTCTGGAATCTCGTGCTTCTCAATCACTTCATTCCACTCGTCCTCATGGTAGACATCCTGAGCCCACGGTTCCATCATCTATCTCCTCTTCGAAGAAGCCGCCGTTGTCTTGAACTGCGACAGAAGTTCAAGCCCTTTCCATGTGCCCAACTTTGTCATAGTCCAAGTCTCCATAGATTGAATGGACATGGAGTCCATCGAGGGTCTCCGGCCCTTGTGATTGGTGTGCTTTGATCTCCCTCATCGTCCCCACAACAGGTTTGCATTGAACCAGTTATGTGTGTATATATTTATGTAAAAATGTGTATATATATAAATTACTTAAAGCACGTAAAATACACATATAATATATATATATACATATATATAGAGGCCTGGTGTTCCTCTTGCTTTTGCCTTTGACTCTCGGCGCGCCTACTTGGGATTTCGGCCTCCTCTTCGTTCTGGAGCAACTGCTCTAAGTATAGCAACCTCACCCGAAGGATTGAACGGTTCAGGAGCATATTGGATTTCCTTGTAACCCAGTTGCTCGCAGGCTTCCCAACCGAAATCCGTCAACAAGCTCACCACCAAAACCGCGCCCTCGATCTCAGCATCTCGGGACGACAGAAAAGCATGTCCACTTCCCGCCTGGAACTTCGATAGGGCGTCAGCTAATGGAGCAGCTTTCGCAAGCCCAGAGTAAAAAGCCCCGATATGGCGGGTCTGGCACGCTTCCTCCTTCGCTTGCTGCTCTCTAATCTGACGATGGTGGTCGACGTTCTTCCTCATCTTCTTCCTGTTCTTGCCTTCTTCTTGCTCCTTTTCCTCCTGAGGCCATAGTGCGCCGAACACGATTTCCCAGAAGATGCGCTCATTTGCTGCAAGGTTGACCTCAAAGAAGCCGTCAATAAGAATGTCCACCTTTGGTTGTCGGGCTCCACTACCAGTCTTGAACTCCTGAAGCGCCCGAAGTCTTCCCTGTCAAGCACAATCTCAACTACCAAAACGTGAAGCGCAAAAGAGTCCTTTCACAACGAATCGTGCCGAGAACGGCCAAGGGCCCTAGGCCCTAGGTGTTGAGAGAATGGAAAGCCGCGGCGAACATCGGCCCGATTCACCGGGCATGCTCCGTTCAACGCCATGAAGAAATGAATGCAGTGCATGCGCAAATCAACATGTAAAAGAACAAAGTATTTTGTGATTGGAGGTTCCCAAAAAAGCAACCATCTTCGCAGCACATCACCTATTTAATTATCAGGGGTTGTGCTTTTGCCATTTGTCTGACGCAGCAATGCAGTGAAGCAAAACCAAGGTCTTACATCGTCTTGCACAGCCATACAAAAGAGCCAAACGGATGAACGGGGAGGACCGAGAAGAGGTTGTTGGAGGGCGACAGCCTGTAGTCCTGCGGAGATGATCTTGCCAGCTAAGTTCCATGCTGCATCAAATGCCTAATTCTATATGTGCGATACCCAAATATCTCTGTGAAGGAGTGTGCTCATGCTCGACCCAATCAATCATAAATGTATAGTTATGTCATGTAGTTTTGCAATGTATTGAACCTGCTCTCACCGCATAGCCGTAGAGCGCAATAATTAGGTGGCGAGAAGTGACGAAGCCCGCAGCAAGTAGCGAGGGACTTGTTGCTACTCCTCTCTATATGATCCACAACATCTGCTGCGTTGGTGGTCCGATGCCACTAAGAATCACTGCAGTTGGCGGCGACAGTATTTGTCACTCGGCGGCGGCGCGTTTTTTTCCACTAACTTCAATGGATGAATAATAGAATTGTGCTGGCGCAGCAGGACAAAACTTGTGCGACTGGGCGATGCTTGACTCACCTGGCTGCTGGTCGCCGTAAATAGACCAAAAGCGCTTCGGTGGGAGGAGTGAGCCGAAATAGGGGAAACCGCTGTGATTTTTCTTTTTAAGCATTGCCACCTGCTGCCTTATGCTTGGCGGATTTTGCCGGGTAATTGCTTTTCAACCGACGCTGGAAACGCTGGAGGATGCGCCAGGTTCTCTGACGGCTAACATGCTGTCAAGTTTTTGTCTTTCCAGATCTTGCCTTGACAATGCGAGTTGCTGAGCTCATGCTTTACGCGGCTGTTGAGAATAGGACTTGAGGATTGACGAGATGTCAACGCCTGTGATGATCATTTCTGCGAGGCTGCACATTCGCTGCAATGATGGCGGATATCATCAATCAAAGGAGGCTCCTGCGCCACTTCGACGGAGGACTTGCTTCGAGGAGGCCCTTGCTCGAGCAATGTAAAGACCTGCAGCACCAGAGTTCTCTCAATCACAACGTTTTTCGTTGTTCCACCAACATTTTAACACACATCTTCAGCGTCCTTGGAGCTGTTCTTTGTTATAGATCGCCGCTTCATTTCCTAAGCTAAGGCTTGGAGTATAGATATAGTTGTTTTTGTTGATTGAAGTTACATATAGTTTGCTTTGCTTGGGATTTCTCCAGCACCTGGCTGTATACCGAGCTACGACCAACTCAGCGTCACTGAGATCAAATGCGCTGCGCATTTGGAAACGGCTCGCCTGAAATCTATGCTTGGAAAAACACACACATATCCTGAATCTCTTGATGGTCCTTCAAGATTCAAGCCTTCAACAAGTCAGGTTCAGTCTCTTTCCGAATGTGCTCTTCAAAGGACTCTGCTGCACCTTGACATTTGGACATATATTGTTGTTGGACATTCTTCCCGCTATTGCCGCTGCAGCATTGAAGCGGAACATGAATTACTAAGGCGTGCATGTTGGGCAATGACCATTCATGAACACCGTATATAACTATATGTATATAATTCAAAGTTCATAGGGCTTCCACGCATCACAAGCTGCACTCGATCCAAAGCTGATATTCGGCGCTGGCTAAGCCTGCCAGCTCTAGGAGGTATTCCGCGGTCTTTCTGACATTGCATGACACTGTCGACAGTCCACTTCAGGTCTTGGAACATCGGCCATCGTCAAAGATGGTCAGTTGATTGATCTTGATTGTGCATTCTCCACATCTGTGACTTTCGGTCCGACTCGCCTGGGGCTGCCACTTACACTGTGAGGCAACGATTGCCTCAGAATGTTAAGAATGGAAAACTGGATGTCACGTCACACTATATTAGTATATAAACATATACAACACCGAGAAAGACAGCGAATCCAAAACCAATGAGCAGCAGAACTACCAACTCTCCAGGCTTCAAATCAACCTTTTTTCGACAAGCCGCTCCGAATAAATTGAAACTTGGTTCCTTCTTGGCGCAGTTTTTTTCTGAACCTTCCTGACAGCACTGAAAAATGTCCAACCACCTCAATGCCAATCCGTTCCATCCTCCACTGTATATGCCCTGACGTGAACACTGCAAACTCTTGGTAAGTCTCGTTGCTTCTTTTGTTTTGTGAGTGAGTGTTTCTGAGAGGTGTGCAAAGGCGTGCACACACGCAAAACTGGAACTACAATAGAAAACAAGTTTTGTGTAACAAAACAAACAACCCATAGTAAGCAAAACCGCAGAAAATACGGCGCAGAACACACGGTATCGTTATACATCTGCTGAGGAATAATACATGCTGGGACGGAGCAGGCGGTGGGGGAGACAAGTGACCGTGGCAAGGCTTCAAAGCCGTGGTATAAGGAGGCTCGTGGAAAGGCCTGTGGATCGACCGTGGTAAGAGCGACCTGTGGTTTTTGGGTTCGAGATAGTGCTGGACAAGAGCAAACAAGCTGTGGAAGACTAGGGGCACCCTGCGGTCTCATTTATGTGTGCCCTCATGTGTTTGCTCACATATGTGCTCTCATGTGTGTGCGTGTGTCTCCCCCGAGGGTTCTTTTTCGCATGCGCATTTTCAAGAACGCAGGGGGCAGCAGGGAATCCACAGTTCTGCTGCTAACGAAGACAGCTGTGGACACTCCGTGAAGCAGATTGGGACGCCAATCTGTGTACCTGCAAAGCAACTGTTGTTTATGCTGTCTACTTCTCCGGTTTGATTCCATGGTCTTTTCATGATGCTTCCCACAAACAGGTTTCCCTCCGCATTGCAGCTGCTGATAGCCGCTGTCGTTGAGCGTTTTTGCAACATTTGTTAAACATCCTGTTGATCGCGGACTCTGCCACCTTTCCATTCCATCATTCCTTTTCTCGTGGAACTGTGTCAACAGAAAACCCTATGTCTAAGCGTGCGCCGCTCTGTCGTCCCACTGGGTGCAGGGCGTGATCTCCCGCAAGGGAGCGCCGAAACCATCGCCCAAGGAAATTGCATGCTGCTCAAAGTAATCAACGCGCTGTTGTCGGCAGCTGCAGGTATGGCGGCGACGGCGCAGCAAAGCGGCAGTGTAAGGTCAATCCGGGATTGAAATTGCAGTCGCTGAATCGAATTCTGGAAATTGAGTGGTTGAATGATCTGAAACGTGTCAACATGTAGGACTCGCATGAATCCTACAAAAGTACGCTAAAACTTGAACCTTGAAAGCGCTGCTGAAAAGAGAGGCCCGTTAGCCCGGCGGCGTCAAGTCTCCGTAAACTCGGCAGTTGTGGTCAGAAGATTCATGGGGCGAGACACTAAGCCAGTATGTGATAATCCAACGCATGCAGAAAAACGCTGAATCAGACTGTGGGCCGAGCCCTTATGGTTCACAACCACCACCAATGACGATGCCCACACCACAGCCTTTTCCACCCCGCCATATCACTCGGTCCCAACGCTATCACCTGCTATCCATCCGCCAGATGCACATCCGGGACCGCCACTACAACATGCACCAGTGCCCACTTTTCCGGCCTCCTACTGTTTCCCCACAGCACTCCCACCACAGGACTTTTCGCGTCCTACACCGTAACCTTCTTCAGTACAACCGCCTACCAGTACCTACCTTCAGCCACCTCCACCTTCAGCTACTGCCGCTCAACCCCCAGCTGCCGCCCCGCAACCTACTACACTCACCTGCAGTTTGGCAGCCACAGCCATTCTCAGCTTTCCCACCAGCCCACTGATCCAGACCCCAATCAGCCCAATCAGCCGCCAACCACTCCTTCGCAGCAATCCTCCCCTCAACAACCACCTCCTCCTCCTCCTCAGCCACCAACTGTGCCCAGCTCCGCTCCCACCACCACAGACTCTGCAGCATCCCAACCTCGTCCGCCTCCACCACCTCCCCCACCGCCCCAGCAACCGGACACCACATCCAAGACGGACGCATCAGCAGGCGCCGCTCCCTCGGCACCACAACAGCCCCGCCACCGACGTCACCGCCGCCGGCACCATGGCCATCGCCGCCATCGCACACACCAGGACCGTGGTCGCTCAGACTACCATCACACGCGTCGATCTCGACACTCCCAAACCACACCGGCAACCCACCGCGGTCACTCCACCTCCTACTCTTACTCCGCCGCTCGCAGTCGCACTCCACCGTCCCGCTCAGATGCAGCGATCACACTCCGGTCCAATTCGGAACTTTCCTCAATCGTCCTACCCCAACCAACCATGCGCCGTGTGCGCAACCCTTGGAAGGAACCACCCAATTTTGACTTGAAACCTGGCTCAATTATCACGCGCACCAATTCGACACTCCCAACTCTCCACAGCACACCTACGTGGCTCGCCTTCTCATCAGCAGCGGTCTCAGTTTCGCCGATGTTTTGTGAAACAACGACACCAATCGCTACGACCTCTTCCATTTCAATCGCATCACTCTTCACACACTTCCAGCCAAGGACTTTCAACGCTTTACCCAACCTACACGTGCCACTAATACCTCACCGAAGGTCGCGCGCATCCTGGGTGGCCACACTGGCCCTGCAGGAAACATTACCCAAATCCTCCGACAGGGCCGTTTTCTCCCAAGCACCCTTCACATCAACACCGGCTTCTTCGCCCAAGGCTTCCGTGCCACTCACAGCTACCCGCACGACTACACGGAAAACGCGCGCATCGTTTTCAACACCTGGAACCTTTCCAAGAACACCCGCTCCATGGTGACCCTGCTTGCTTGGGGCACAGGCAAAAAAGTCACACAAGAGCAGGCCGCCAAATTATTACAACAACAACACGGAGCAGTCTTCCATCAGAATGGGCGCTGCTGGGTTATTGAACCCGAAAATGCTATCGTGCGCGGCATCGCTTAGTCCTCAGATGCCACTCCACCAGCCCTTTGAATTCACCTCTACTTCCACACCATCGACACACCGATTCCACATTCACCTCCACCTGTCTCACTGCGGCTGTCTGACTCTGCCACAACATACCGACTCAGCCCTCCCAACAAAAAGATGCAGCAGCTGCCGCTTCCATGTTTCATGGCGTTGCTTTTGCGCGGTTTCGTCAACCATTCCTTCATTCTTTTTGCCAGCTTGGCGATATGCCATGTATACTGAGACTCTTATGTCCACGATGTGCATGCATTTGGTTGTATGGGTTTCATGACGTTATGGGGGAATTGCTCCGGCTGGCTCGATTTAATTCATTGCTTCGTAGTTAATTTCAAATTTCGCACGTGATTTTCCAATTTTCCACGGATTCCAGCGTTTCATGTAGCGCCGTATGCCTTCTGCAGCTGCAGCACACACGTTCCAATCGGCCACGACCCGCATCGCCAGACTCCCAACAGACCCCCAGTCTCACCAATTCCATCATCGCTGCGACACAAGACACCCAGCCGCCGCCACCCCCTCACGATACCACCAATTGGGACGACTGGGGCGCAGACGCTGAATGCACCTTAGTGGATCTAAAAACAGATCCGAAGCTTCGCCCCAATTGGCACTATGTTGCTCGGAGGGTCGGTTTCTCTGTCGAGCAATGCAAAGCAAGATGGGCAGAACTTCAGGACCTCCAACGCCTCCAAGACCAAGCAGCAACGTCGCCGCCACCATCTCCAACAGTTCCTCTCCAACTGCCATGCCCGCCACTGACTCCCACTCCTACGGAGCCACATCGAGCAACACCTTCCATCCGCTGCTGAGCCGCCAGCTGCCACGCCGAGCGCGCGTGATGCGTCCGTATTTCCTGTGACTTTTGGTCTGCTGCATTTTGCAGCCTACTCAGCGCCACACTGATCGACAGCTTGTTTCACACCAGCTCTCTCGGCGTGCCATTGGCAAAAATCTTCATGCACCATACTGAAATTTACTCCGAACATACGTTGACGTTTCTTCATGTCCCCAACTCTGCTTCCTCGGATGATTTGGGAGTCCTTTACGCAGTTCTACAAGCTCTGGACAGACATTCAGGGTTTTGCATATTGAGTTGTCGTTCTCGCCTTCTCATTGTCATTGTTGTTGGATTCAATCAATCATTAGATATTTCACCGCAGCGTTTCAGATTTTCAGATTTGCTTTCACGATATTCGCAACGTCTCTCATGGCAGCCCCAGGAGCCCTATACAGCCATGATTTGCCTGGAACAGATTTACCTCCCGCCTTGCACATGCAGCCACCCTCGCACTACCTTTCTTGGAACCCACTTCCCTTCATGTCACCCTCCGTCACCCACCACAGCCGGAACTCCTTCTAGAATACCTCATCGAATGCATCCTTCAACCGCCCTCCGCCAGAATCTGTGGAGTGTTTCCACGTCGATTATGATGGATCAGATTGAAGCAGCGGATTTCACCTCCTTTACCACACCGCCACCTTAGGCCATCGACTATTCTCACACAGTCCAGTGCAGACTTTTTGACGAAGTTCAGCCATCACAATTTGTCAGCAAAATACATTGCGCTGTTTCGGCCGTCCATTACTTTTGGCCCCTTTCCTGTTTTTCTGCTTCCCTTTCTTTCCTCTTCGAGTTACCCTTTCGGTTCCCTCTCCTTTTCTCTTCTTTCCTTTCCCTTCTTTTCTCATGTACTTTCTGACCTTGGCCCTTGCGGCCTTGCCTCGCGCTCCCCATGGATGACGAACTCCCTGGTTATAGCCGCTCTCCACGCCCAGCAAGCCTACAGAGCACTGACCCACCTTCGGCTATTCCCAATTATAGGACCGGAGAACCCCACATGGGAACAACTTCGAAAGATTGAAGCTGCAGACATAAAGCGCTGAAGAGTGAGCGTGGGGAAGAGACAGGCGAGACAAATAGAATGCGTAAGGGTCGGTGTGTGTAGGTGAGGTGTGCGTTTGATTGTAGGCGCTTGTCCGTGAGTGTGTATGAGTGTGTGGGTGGATGTATGCTGTATGACGCTTGTGTGCATGTAGGTGTTTGTAAGGTGTGTGTTTGTGTGTATGTGTCTGTTCATCAGGGTGTATCTGTGTGTATCCGTTTGTGTGTATCTCGTCAGAGAGTCGGT